CCTGAAATGACACAATTGTAGTCATGGCTGTCAAGGGATAAAGGGTTGTGGATGGGATGGACAGACAAACGTAAAAAGGAATGATCCCTGTGGCTTCTGGGAGTGAGTCAGAGACTTCAGAGAAGGGCCTCAGAGAGAGGTGGGTTTGGTGCTTGAGAGATGGCTCAGCCATGAAGAACACTCAGGATGGCTCACAACTGCCTGTAACTACAGCTGTAGGGGATCTGGAGCCCTCTTTTGTCTCCTTTGGCACCTGTGTGTGCACACACACACACAGCACACACACACACGAAAGTAAATCTGAAGGATGGGGAAAGCCGAGCACCTGCGTGCACACACACACACAAGTAAATCTGAGGGATGGGGGAAGCTGAGTCAGGAGGATTGAAAGTTTGAAATCAGCCTAGGCTACGCTAGGGGCGGTGTGTGTGTGTGTGTGTGTGTGTGTGTGTGTGTGAGTGTGCATGTGTGTGTTCTACTGCACTTAATTAGGATTGCTTACTGGAGTAGGGATGGGAGGTTATTGGCTTGGGCAAGTGATGTATACTCTTGTTCTCTATTTAAACTGAACCCTCATGTTAGCACCCTGACACCTGTGTCACTGGACCTTTATTTTCTCCTCTTCTCAAAGCAGCCACCCTGGAAAAATCTTTCTCTGTTTCCCCTTTGTCTCTTTATTATTATTCTTTAATTAAAAGATATTTTTTCCCTAGGCGGTGGTGGTGCACGCCTTTAATCCCAGCATTTGGGAGGCAGAGGCAGACGAATCTCTGTAAGTTCGAGGCCAGCCTGGTCTACAGAGCGAGTTCCAGGACTGGCTCTATAGCTACTGAGAAACCCTGTCTTGAAAAAAAGAAAATTATAGTTGGGCAGTGGTGACACACCCCTTTAATCCCAGCACTCGGGAGGCAGAGGCAGGTGAAACTAGTCAGTTGGGTCTACAGAATGAGTTCCAGGACAGCAGGGATATACACAGAAACCATGTCTCGAAAAACTTTTTACTTCAAAGGTGTTTTGCTTTCATATACATGCATGCCTGATACCCAAAGAGCCAGAGGAGGACATCTGATTCCCTAGAACTGCATGATTGTGGAGTCCATCCCAGGTCCTCTGGAAGAGCAGCCAGAGTTTTTAACCACTTGTTTCTTTTATTGGTGTTTTGAGGAGGATAGCCAAGTCTACCTTGTTATGGTTGCCAGGACCCATGCTTACATGCTAAAATCTTTGGCTCCCAAGATTGTCATCATTTGTTGGCTTTTTTGAGGGTAGGTTATTTTAGACATGGTCTCTCATGTGTAGCACTGACTGTCCTGGAAACTCTCTCTGTAGTAGACCTGGATGGCCTTGAACTCACAGAGATAGACCCGGCTCGTTTGTTTGTTTGTTTCTTTCTTTCTTTCTTTCTAAAAGATTTATCTATTTATTATGCATACAATGTGCTGCTAGCATGTATGCCCACATACCAGAAGGAGGCACCAGATCTCATTACAGATGGTTGTGAGCCACCATGTGGTTGCTGGGAATTGAACTCAGGTCCTCTGGGAAGAAAAGGCAGTGCTCTTAACCTCTGAGCCATCTCTCCAGCCTCCTCTTTTTTTTTTTTTTTTTACTGGACTGGAGAGATGGCTCAGAGGTTAAGAGCATTGCCTGCTCTTCCAAAGGTCCTGAGTTTTATTCCCAGCAACCACATGGTGGCTCACAACCATCTGTAATGAGGTCTGGTGCTCTCTTCTGGCTTTCAGGCATACAGGCAGACAGAATATTGTATACATAATAAATAAATATTTAAAGAAAGGAAGGAAGGAAGGAAGGAAGGAAGGAAGGAAGGAAGGAAGGAAGGAAAGGAAAGGATGGATGGATGCTGGGGAGGAGGCGAACAGAATGAACTCTACCAGGAACCAGCCTGGGCCATGTCCTGGAGGTGACAGAATATGATCCTTAGGAGACTCAAAATAGTTCAGTGTAGCTGGACCACATAGTGACAACATGTTCGGCAGGAGCCATCAGTTAGAGGAAGCTTTGCCAAGCCAAGTTCAGGAGAGACTTGGCATAGTCTGGGTGGCCCCGGGACCTCAGAGGTCTAATACAGTCAGGGCTCTCTAGTTTCTCCAAAACGAGGTTCTTCCCTATCCTCTTTGCCAGCCACAGGAAAGAGTCCTGGGCTGGTTTTTTTAGTTTGCTTTGAAAACCCTTCCTGAGTAGTCCTACCTGGACAGATTAAACACTGATTGACCAGCCAACCAGAAAAAGCCACAGAAAGTGCCAGAAACATAAGACTGAGAGTTGGGTAGACTGTTCTGTGGTAGGAACTTGCCCAGCATGTCTGGGTGCTGGGCTTCATCTGCAAAAAGCAGGGAAGCAAACAGGCAAAACCCCTTTACTGCTGACTGCGGTGGGGGAAGTAATCCTAGCAGCATCAGCCTGCCTTTTGGTGGGATGGCTTCTTCTTTTTTTTTTTTTTACTTCTTTTATGTGTGTGGATGTTTTCTGTGCATGCAGTGCCCACAGAGGTCAGAAGAGGGTGTCAGATTCCTCAGGACTGGAGTAATAGACAGCTCTAAACCACCATGTGGGTGCTAGGAGTTGGGGATTGAACCTGGTCCTCTTTTGAGACAGGGAAGGCTCATAATGTAAGAATGCTTTTTTTTTTATTTTTATTTTCGAGACAGGGTTTCTCTGTGTAGCCCTGGCTATGCTGGAACTCACTCTGTAGACCAGGCTGGCCTTGAACTCATAGAGATCCGCCTGCCTCTGTCTTCCAAGTGCTGGGACTAAAGGGTGCACTACCACTGAGGGATGGCTATTTTAAAATGTGATTTCTCTTCATTGCAGAGTTTTTTTTTCTTTCTTTTTTTTCAAGATAAGGTCTCCCTGTTTAACTCTGGCCTGGAACTATGTTGATCACGCTGGCTTAGAATTCACAGGGATCTGTCTGCTTCTGCTTCTGAGTGCTAGGATTAAAGGTACATGCTACTAGCCCAGGTTAATTTTCTATTTAGTCACAGATTATGTAAAGTTAAAATGACTTTTATTTCTTTTCTTTTTTTCTTAAGTCTTGTTTTTTCTTTAAATAGACATAGTGGCACATGCTAGTACACCCAGCACTTAGGTGGATCAGGAGCTCAATCTTCTGCTATGTCATAGGTCCGAAATCAGCCTGAGCTACATGAGATCCTTTCTCAAAAAACAAAACAAAACAAAACAAAAAACCAATCAAATCAATGGTAGAATAACACGCCACCCCCGCTTCTCTGCAGTCCTGGCTGACGTGGAACTCACTGTGTGGAGGTGATTCCGGCAACTGTTGTGATTATGGGCACGAGCCACCATGCTTGGCTTAAAATTGTTTTCTTTAGCCAAAAGTGACTGAGTTTCTTTAGTGTCATGTTTCATGCTCGCTGGGATCAGGATCTGTTGCTCTGCCAACTACACTTGAGACCATAAGATCCTGCCAATTAATAAGGCACACCTATGTCGTGTCCAGCCGTAAGCCCAGCTTCTGTCGACTCCTTTCTCCTCATTCTCCAGCGATGGGCCTCCGATGTTGACCGGCCTTCTAGTTCTCTGTGGGTGTGATCTGCTCTCTGCTTTCTCGCTATGCTCGCCCGAGCACCCCAACTGCCCTGCTTGCTCAGCCTCTGACTCACTGGGGAGAGCTTCCAGTGTTCCCTTCCTCCCAGCCAGGTACGGCTGTGATCCTTCCTATCTGGTAGGTAGTTCGAACTGCAAGTTTATTACAATGGATTCCAACCTTGCCCTCCCCCGCTTCTGGCTGTTACTCTGTTCTTCAGTTCTGTGTAGTTGAACAGGCACTCTATCTAACTCTTGGGTCTCAACATTGTTCTGAAATCCAAGGAGTGCACTATAGGAGCCCTGGACTGGGAGACACCTCAAGGCCTCAATCTGAGCCCTAGTCTGGAGTTCAAGATGGCTTTGGTCAAATCGGTGAAACTCACAGACCCCACTGCCTGTCATATTGTAGAAACAGCTATGGCTATTTGAAATGTACTATGCTAGGGCCTGGAGAGATGGCTCAGTGATTAGGAACACTGGCTGCTCTTGCAGAGGCCCTCGACTCAGTTCCCAGCAACCACATGGTAATTCACAACCATCTGTATGTACTCCAGTTCCTGGGGATCTGATCCCCTCTTCTCACTTCCGCGGGTACTGGATACACGTGGTGTACAGACATACATGCAGGCAAAACACTCATATACATAAAAATAATTTTTTTCAGTGCCACATCAGTGGCTGTGATCGATGGTTTCCATACAATGTCATATGTTTCTGCTTCAGGGAAGAACAGAAAATGCTCGAGAAGGAAGACTGGAGAGTCACAGTTGTCTGAGCATTAGCTATACGTACCATTTTGGTGTGTTCAAGTTTTATCTCAAAGCTACTAGGAACCTGTCCCTGCTTTCCTTCTCCCTCTTTTGGTGATTAAGGTGGCTCCTTGGATGGAGTTATAGATAACCTGAGAAGGCAAACCCGGGAGCCACTAGGGTTACATGAGGGGTGTGGTATCTGCCCTTTCCTTCTTTTTTTTTTTTTAATTTTTTTTAATTTTTTTTTTTTTTTTTTTTTTTTGCCCTTTCCTTCTAAACGTGATTTCTCGTGAGATTTCTAAAAAACTACAGCAGCGAAGGAGAATGGCAGTTGTTAATGGCGCAGAAATTCTTTCTAGGCTGCAGACCAGAAGCGTCACCTGTATTTCTGGGTGAGGCGCTCTCTTTTTTCTTTTCATGTTCGTGAGATTTCCATGTCTTTCCGTTCCGTCTCAGAATCAGCAGCCGTGGGAATCGAACTCTGACTCACCTATTTTCCTAGCTGCACCGTGAGGCGCACTCTTTCCTCGCCCCTAGTATCAACGCCGGGATCCCGCCTTCCCCGGCCCGCGGCGTTGGCGGGGCGGGGCTTGCCCCCTTTCTCCCCCCGCTCTCCTCGAGGGAGGGCTCCTATTGGCTGTCGAGCGAGACGGAACCCGCGGATTGGCTGCGCGGCGACCGCCGGCTGACGTGGCGGGGCCGGGACCTTGCGGGCCTGCACGGCGGGTGCGGAAACGCGGCTAGAAGCGTGCGGGGCGCGGATAGACATCATGCCGCTCGAACTGGAGCTGTGTCCCGGGCGCTGGGTGGGTGGGCAGCACCCATGCTTCATCATCGCGGAAATAGGCCAGAACCACCAGGGCGACCTGGACATCGCCAAGCGCATGATCCGCACTGCCAAGGTGAGGGGCGGGGCTCGGGAAGGTCCGCGGAGGGTTAGCGGTGGAGTTCGTGGAGGTTAACGGAGGGCTTGGGCGGGGGGAATCCCAGGGGGCGAGTTAACGGAGGGGCCTGGGAGAGTTTCCGGAGAGTCTCGGGAGAGCGCGGTCGCGAGAGCTTTCTGGTTCTGTGCCCCGTGTCTCACTTGCCTCTATTCCCCAGCTCGGTCTTCCAGGAACTCTTGCTCGCCCTCTCCGCCTCCCTGCCCACTGGACCCCTTTCTTCCCCTTTCCGGTTAGATCAGCCTGGCATCGTCCGTAGGGAGCCACCTGACCAGGATCTTAGGGATTCGGCCCCTTCCTGCTTGTCATATGTCACTTCGGCGATCCTCTCATAACGTTGGTTTCCATGAACTACAATCGTTGGAAGTTGGTGTGGCTTTTCCCTCACCTGTCAGTCCCAGTGTTTGGATTACTAACTGGCGAAAAGTGCAGGTCTCCGAGGGCAGATCCCACTAGGGAACCCCTGTGTACCCAAGTTGTCCGATCTGAAAGGCCGCCTTCGTGGGGCTGTGATGAGCCTCTCATGAAGAAAGGCGTGAAAAGCACAGGCTTCATCGCAGCGCGCCTTAGGTGACCACTACTACCCGCAGCCCCCAGCCCTAGAACTCACACTGTTTTGTTTTAGACACAGGCCTCCAAGCCATTGTTCTGTAAAGGGGGAAATTCCTGCTTTTATTTCCAAGGAACAGCCTGTTTTCCCAAGGTGTGACCTCTTTGTGTGATGAGGTTGTAAAGATACCCAGAGATATAAAAACTGTGCAAACAGAGTTATAGTTTTTCCTCTCACGGGTTCTCTTCAGTTCTGGAGGGCACCGGGGCCAGAGGACACAGTGGCAAGGCCGGTGCTGTCCTGTAGTGTGAGGGGCCTGGCCTAGAGTCAGGACATTTACTAGCTGAGTGGTCTTGAGCAGGTGGCTTTCCTAGGCCTCAGACTTTTCTTACTTCTCTCCCTTTCTGTGGTGTTGCAGAGGAATTTCCTACATCCCTATGTTTTGACTTTGCTGCCATTTGTAGCAGGAGACCATTGCCTCCGTTTACTGCCTAGGGTTTGTAGTGTACAAGCTCACTCGCTCACAGGATGCATCTGTTGTTTGTTTTATTATATTCAGAGTGCATTCACACATGTATGGGTTGCGGGGCTCACACTCGGGTCCTCAGGCTTCGTGACCTGAGCATTTACCTGCTAAGAGATTTCACCAGCGCAATAATGTGTGTGTGTGTGTGTGTGTGTGTGTGTGTGTGTGTGTGTGTGTGTATTTATGGTTTTTCAAGGCAGGGTCTCTCTGTGTAACAGCCTTAGTTGTCCTGGAACTAGCTCTTGTAGACCAGGCTGGCCTCGAACTCACAGAGCTCCGCCTCCCTCCTTCTCCCGCGTGCTGGGATTAAGGCATGTGCCACCACCACCTGGCCCTTTTAACACGTTATTTTTTAACATGCATTTGCACATAGAGGACAGAGGCCCATGCTGGGGTCTGCTTCAGTTGTCCTCTGTCTTTAATATTTTATTTGTATGTGTGTGTCGTGTACTTCCACAAACACTCATGTATGTGTGTACATGCCACAGTGCTTGTTTGGAGGTCTGGACATGGCTTTCAGATGTTCTGTTCTTCTGGGCTGGAGAGATGGCCCAGAGGTTAAGAGCACAGGTTGCTCTTCCATAGGTGCTGAGTTCGAACCCCATGGTGGCTCATAACCATCTATAATAAGATATGATGCCCTCTTCTGGCCTGTAGGGATATATGCAGACAGAATATTGTATACATAATAAATAAATTAATCTTAAAAAAAAGTTCTGTCCTTTACTGTGTAGACCCTGGGATTGAACTCAGTTTGTCAGGCCTGATGGCAAGCACCTTTATCTGACAAGCCATTTAACCCGCCCTCCACCTACGTTTTGAGACGAGGCTTCTTCTTGAACAAACTGCTCATGATTTGGTTAGATTGGCTGGCCAGCAGGCCCCAGGGATGGGTCTCTAGGCACATGCTACCATGTTTGGCTCTTTACAGGGTGTGGATTTAACTTAAATCCTCATGACCACACTTCTCCCACTGAGCATCTCTTCGGCTCCGGTTTGTTTTGTCTAAATATAATGACGTCATATCATTGTCCCCCCACATTCCTGCTCCAGGTCACTGTAAATGTCCTACTGTGTGTTGCAGGAGTGCGGGGCTGACTGCGCTAAGTTTCAGAAGAGCGAGTTGGAGTTCAAGTTTAACCGGAAGGCCCTGGAGAGACCATATACTTCGAAGCATTCGTGGGGGTCGACGTATGGGGAGCATAAACGGCATCTAGAATTCAGCCACGCCCAGTACAGGGAACTGCAGCGCTATGCGCAGGACATTGGCATCTTCTTCACCGCCTCTGGCATGGACGAGGTAAGTGCTCAGCCTCTCATGGGATGCAGGCAGCTATGGTGTAAAGCCGGCCCTAGCTCTGCTCGCCTTAACTGTGTCCGGCTAAGTGGGAAGCCAATGGGCCAGCGACCCAGAGAAGGGGTTTTGAGAGAAGAGTACCACGGTTTAAAAACTACCCCGACATCAGAGCAGCAATGCTCAACCCCAGCATCCTTCCCACCATGGGACAGCCGAGCTGGGCAAGGCTCTCCCATTGGAGTGTGGTTTAGATGGGGAACCAGTGTGCCTCACCAGCCAGCTGTGACTGGCTCCCTGGAGTGCAGCTGGCATCACCCACAGGGACGTGTCTCGGTCTGGCTGTGCTGACATCCTAGAGCAGTCCAGCAGGCCCATTTTGCACTATAATTTCTTTTCTTTATTTTTGAGTCAGGGTCTCTGTCTCTGTCTCTAACCCTGACTGTCCTGGAACTTACTCTGTAGATCAGACTGGCTTTGAATTCAGAAATCTGTCTGCTTCTGCCTCGCGAGTGCTGGGATTAAAGGTGTGCGCCACCACCGCCCGGTGTATCTTCTGTCCTTTGATGATCCTATGTTCTCTCTTTTCTGAATGTCAAAAGCTTTAGTCTTAGAAACAAGGACAATGGTACAGAAAGTTTATGTCTTAAGGTTTCTATTGCTGCAAAGAGATACCGGGACCGTGGCAACTCTTTTTTTTTTTTTTTTTAAAAACATTTCTTATAGTTTATTTAACTTTTATTTTATGTGCATTGGTATGAAGGTGTCATACCCCTGGAACTGAATCTTCAGACAGTTGTGAGCTGCCATGTGGGTGCTGGGAATTGAACCCTGGTCCTCTGGAAGAGGAGTCAGTGCTCTTAACCACTGAGCCATCTCTCCAGCCCCCCATGGCAACTCTTATAAAGGAAAACATTTAATTGGGGCTGGCTTACAGTTCAGAGGTTCAGTCCATTGTCATCATGGCGGGAAGCACGGTGACACACAGACAGTGCTGGAGAGGTAGCCGAGAGTTTACAGGATCCAAAGGCAGCAGGAAGAGACTGCGACACACACCTCCCTCAACAAGGCCACACCTCCTAATAATGCTACTCCCTGTGAGCCTATGGGGGACACTTTCTTTCAAACCAACACAATTTAGGAAGTAGGAATGATCCCAGCACCCCAGAGGCAGGCAGAGCTCTGTGAGTTCAAGGCTAGCCCGGTCAGGACGGCCAGGACTGTTAACACAAAAAAACCCTATCTTGAACCCCCGCACCCCCCCCCAAAAAAATTGCAGGGAACAAGAGGGAGTGGCCTGTGGTTTCTATATGCTGTCTCTCTATGGATTTCCTCTTTGACTCTTACAGTACCTGTCACTGCTGGTCACATCTGGTTTTCTGTGTTCTTTTTCTAATTAGTGTTAGAACACAGCTTCCTTCCTCCTGTGTAAAGACTGTGACAGCAGTTCAATGTTTCTTTTGGAGGGTATACTAGAGTGTTATCTGTTGTTGTTTTTGTTTCCTGAGACAGGGTCTCAGTATGTAGCCTTGGCTGGTCTACAACTCATTGTGTAGACCAGGCTGGCCTCATGATCCTCCAACTCCAGAATCCTGAGTTGAGTTCTGGGTTTCAGACTTACTTTTAGTTTTTTTGTTTTGTTTTTTGTATTTTGTTTTTCCCCTTTAGTTTCTCCAGACAAGGTTTCTCTGTGTAACAGTCCTGTGCAGGAGAATTGTCTGTATTCTGTCAATCATGTTTTAAATAAACGCTGATTGGCCAGGCAGGAGGTATAGGCAGGAAAACCAGACAGGAAGTGGAAATGATGCAAGGAGAGCAGGAGAATTCTGGGGAGGAGGAAGCTGATTCCTCCCACTCCTGCCCAGACCACCGAAGCAGCAGGATGTGAGCTGCCCCACTGAAAAAGGTTCAGAGCCACATGGCTAACATAGATCAGAAAAATGGGTTAATCAAGATGAGAGAGTTAGCTAATAAGTAGCCTGACCTAATGGGCCAATCAGCATTATAATTTACAGAGATCTGTGTGTGATTTTTCTCTGGGACTAAACAGCTTGGGGGCCGGGTGGGACAGAAACCCCAACAAACAGGCCCAGCCCCCTCAGGCTACAGTCCTGGAACTCTCTTTGTAGATCAGGCTGGCCTCATACTCACAGGAATCCACCTGTTTCTGAGTACTGGGATTAAAGGTGTGTGCCACCACCTCCTGGCTATTATGTTTAGTTTTTTTATACTGATAAATGATGCTGAACCAGGCTTGGTGGCACCCACTTTTAACTCTAGTATTTGGGAGGTGGAGGTAAGAGAATTAGTTCAGGTCAGCCTCAGCTACAAAATAAGTTTGAGGCTGGCCTGAAATACACGAGACTGTCTCAAAACGAAGCAGATGCCAAGGTGAGCATCTTTTCTGTCTGTTCTCAGTTGTTTCCTTAGGGTTGCTTTCTAGATACGGGCTTTAGGGTGGACTTTAGGGGCGTGCTTTTACTGCCCTTGGAATAGTTTCTCATTGCTTTAATCAGATTGTTGAAAGTTTGTGTGTGTGTGTGTGTGTGTGTGTGTGTGTGTGTGTGTGTGTGCGCGTGCTGATGAGGCTGACCTGGAACTTACAGAGAGCCTCCTGCCCCTGCCTCTACTTCCTCAGTACTGGAATTGAAGGTGTGCCCTACCACACCTGGTTCATAAAACACACCCCTGTCTTTGTTAGTCTTCCAGATTTCAGAATATGTTTGTAATTGCAAACATTGGTCCTTGTAAAAATGAAGGAAACCCCACATGGTGGCTTGTGCCTTTCATTCCAGCACTGGTAAGTGTAGACAGGAAGATTGTTGTGAGTTCAAAACCAGCCTGTGTTGTATTGTGAGTTTCATACAGTCAGAGCTACAAAGTGAGATTCTGTTGCTTTTCTCCTTACATCATGGAAAAAACAAACAGGCCAAAAACCCAAAAAGCAATTGATGGAAAGTAAAAAGACTAATAGGCCCAGCACTTGCTGGTGAGCCTGGGCAACAGAGTCTACAAGCCAGAAACAGTAGGTTTTCTATACTGAAAACCTGCTGGGGTTTCTCTGCTGCCAGTTTGGGAAGGAGGTTCCTCTGGCATTTGTTTGCAGCTGGTGTCATGGCTGGCCTGGGGCACATGAAGACAGGAGAAAGGGCGGTGAGGGGGAAATGGGTCCATAAAACCTTTACAAAGAGTAAATTTACATAGATCTTTCTTTGCCAAACTAGCATTTCCTGCCCAGCCTCCTCAGAGCGTCCTGGTTGAGTTCTGTCTGTCCTTCCGTGTCTCCCACCTCCGTTTCTGCAGCAGGTGGCTCCCAGGGTTCACCTTCCTGACTGCGTTATAACAGCTAGCATTTACTGAGTGCCTCCTCTCTCTGCTGTGCGTGCTGTTCTTGGGCGTTCTGTGTGCTCAGGGAAGGTTAAGGTGTGGCAGAATTGTAGGGAGACTGAAAGTTTGCAGGACACCCCTCAGGAGGGTGTGCCGAGGAGGTGGACTTCAGCCAAAGCAAGCTTAGTGTCAAGGCAGCAGCAGATAGACGCACCGCCCCGGGGCCGCGCCCCCCCCCGGCGTGGGGGCACAGAGCCACCTCCCCCTACTCCTGCCCCTGCACTCTGTCCTCTCCACCTCCTTCCCCTGGCTGCCTGCTGCCCGGTGCCCATGACAGGGCTGGCCTGTCTTTTTTTTTTTTTTTTTGTTCTGTGCTCTGTCGACAAAAACCATAATTCTCATCTTAAGTGGAGCAAGAGAGACTATTCTGGAACCATTCTGAGTAACCAGGGCCTGAGAACACAGATTTAGGTTACTCTAAATTCTGTGTTCCAACATGGAAGCAGTTCACAGGGTTTTTATAGTTTTACAGAATAAAGAGTCATAAATCTAAGCAGCATTAAAATATGTCGGTGAGTGCACCAGAGCAGCGGGTGTAATGAGATGGGGCAGCCATTCTATAGGCTCAACGTGCTCTCTGATGACATTTTGCTCTTGGATTGGCGGAAGGTAGTGTTTTGCTAAGTTAATAGCTTCTCTTTTAAAAAGTTTATTCATTTATTATGTATACAGTGTTCTGCCTGCATGTGTGCCTGCAGACCAGAAGAGGGCACCAGATCACATTACGGATGGTTGTGAGCCACCATGTAGTTGCTGGGAATTGAAGTCACAACCTCTGGAAGAGCAGCCAGTGCTCTTAACCACTGAACCCACCTCTCCAGCCCTAAGTTAATAGCAAGAGGTATTTATTTACTCACTTTTTATTTATTTTTGGTTTTTCAAGACAGGGTTTCTCCCTGTAGCCCTTGCTGTCCTGGAACTTGCTCTGTAGACCAGGCTGGTATCACACTCTGCCTCCTGAGCGCTGGGACTAAAGGCCTGTGCCACCACTTTCTGACTGAGGTTTTTATTTATGACCATGAGCTGTTAGTTCAGGTGTACAGTGGGGCAAGGCATGGCTGTTTCAGAAGTCTAAAACTAGCCCAGGATAAAGTAATTAGTGTCTGAACCCAAAAAATTCCAGTCTGTCCACAGCACTGACATTCTGATTGGTTCATCAGTCTCTGCAGACACAGAAACTCTTGCCAGAGTTTTTTGTTTGTTTTGTTGTTCATAGCCAGACACTTTTTTCTTCGCTCCCCAGTAGTCGCTCACCCCTGCTTTCTGGCTCGTCCTCATGGGCTTTGTTTCTCTCCTGCGTGATCACAGCCAAAGGGACTTTAGAAAGTCCCCATTCCCCAGTGTGCCTGAACCTGCTTGTAATCCCAGCTCTCAAAGCAGGGATAGGAGGAAGGCAATTTCGAGGCTAGCCTGGGCTACATGTGGTGACATTGTTTTCAAAATTAGAAGCCCAGGTCTCGCTCTGTTACCCCTTCTGTTACCAGTAGCTTCTCTTCGTATATACACAGAAAGGTTCTGTGAGCACCCATTATCTGTTTGTATTTTATTTGTGTATTTATTTTTGAGACAGGGTCACCATATAGCACTGGCTGTCCTGGAAATAACTGTAGACCAGGCACTCACAGAGATCCACCTGCCTCTGCCTTCTGAGTACTGGGATCAAAGGTGTGCACCACCAGGCCCACTGTCTGCTCTTACTGAGTCAGTCAACCAGGCATGGTGGTGCTTGCCTGTAATCTTAGCCCTCGGGAGACTGTGGCAGGAGAATCAAGAGTTGGAGGCCAGTACAGGGTACATAGCAAGATCAGGGCCAGCCTAGAATAATACAAGTCTGTTTTAAAAAGCAAAGAAGCACATCCTAAGTCAAACCAGTTCGGAAGACCTAAGTTTGAAACCTGACAGGTTTATTTCTGGGACCCTTCCTCCTGGGAGCCATAGGTGGGCAAAGTTTCCTTAGCTCCAGCCTCCTGCGGGTGGCCTGTTCCATGCTCTGAACCTCAGCCATCTGAGGTCCTAATTGAATTACTTAAAGGCAAACTGAAAACAGGAAGTAGTAGGGCTGTTTGACTTGTGCCAGGGACAGGGCCTCACAGCAGTAAGGCAGGTCAGAGGAAGTCAGCAGGCCTTGGGAAAGAAAGCTTTGGCTGTGACCCTTGTAGGGTGAAGAACCAAGGTGGCAGTTTTCAAAATGGCCACTAGGTGGCACCGATTCCCCAGATGGACTGCAAAATGAGACACTCTCTTCCTTCTTAGCAGGAACTCCCCTGCCTCCTCATTAAAAAATAACTTGACAATGATAGAATTCCATGCAAATTGCACAATCCTTGTAGATAAATCTTTGAATTGTTTTTGTTTTGTTTTGTTTTCTTTCTGCACTAGGCATCCTTAGCTCTCACTGCTTGGTCCGTCTCCTGAGGCCACACTTGGCCTGCTCATGCCTGGGAGAGTGAGCGTTCCACTAGCTGAACACTTACGTTCAACTGGTACCGCTTCTTTCTTCTAGTGCACAGCTTCCCTCTCCACGTTCCCCTCTCCTTTACCAGATGTGACCAGAGGACTGAGAAAACTAGAGTATGTTAAGTGAATTATGTTGTAAAAGGATCACTTTTGTTTCGTTTTATTTCTCAGGGCTGTTTAGCAGTGTGGCATATGCAGGGAGGAGAGGAAACGTGGGTGGGAAAAGCAAAGGACAAAACGTTGGACCCAGGGGTAGAGCAGCCAGCCCCACAGGGATTGTGGGACGCTCGGGGTGAGCGGTCCCTGGTGTCCTGTTCTGTAGTGACCCACGGACTGAAAGGTTCCAGCCGCCTTGAGTCCTCATGCGCTGGCTGACCAGCCTCGCTTCTTTTTGATGGGGCACTAAGTGTTTTGGGGATTGAGCCCAGGGCTTTGCACACGCTAGGCAAGCTCTCCACCCAGAGTGCCAGCCTCAGACCCCGCTAAGTGCCTCCCACCCTGTGTTGTTGAGAGCGTACTAAAGAATAAAGTCGGCTTCAGACTCACTAAACTGACCACGGCCATGGTGTTTGGAGAGGTTCCAAACCCTTTGGGAAGGCGGATGGAGGTCTGTTATGGTAGGATGTTGTTTATTTCTAAGTTTTTTTTTAAATATAATTTATTTTTATTTATGTGTATGGATGTTTTGCTTGTATATATGTCTGTGTACCATTTGTATGGCTGGTACCCTCAGAAGCTGGAAGAGGGCATCAAGTATCTTAGAACTAGAGTTACAGATAGGTGGTTGTTAAACCCGCCCCCCATGCAGGTGCTGGGTTCTCTGGAAGAGCAACCATTGCTCTTTTTCTTTTTTTAATTTTATTTATTTATATTTTTGTATGAGTGCTCTGCATGTACACCTGCAGGCCAGCAGAGGGCATCAGACCCTGTTACAGATGGTCATGAGCCACCAGGTGAGTGCTGAGAATTGAACTCAGGACCTCTGGAAGAACAGCCAGTGCTCTTAACCCCTGAGCCATCGCTCAAACCCTTGGTTTCTTTTCTTTTCCCTTGGTTTTTTTCGAAACAGGGTTTCTCTGTGTAGTTTTGGAGCCCCTCCTGGAACTAGCTCTGTAGACCAGGCTAGCTTCGAACTCACAGAGATCCGCCTGCCTCTGCCTCCCTGACTGCTGGGATTAAAGGCCAGCTCCTTGTTTTCTTTTATGAGACAGGCTCTCACCATGGTCCTGTCTGACCTGGAACTTGCTATGTAGGTCAGGTTGCCCTTTAACTCATAGAGATCCACCCTTACTTCTTAGTACTTAACAGAACGTGAGATTCTGCTTGTGTGTGTAGTGCGTGCAGTGCTAGGGATCAAACCCAAGGCCTCACACATTCTAGGGAAGTACTCGGCCATCTCTGCCAGTCCTGAGATGATCCTGGAACCGTTTGCTAACACCTTTCAGTTTCTGGAATCTTCTGGGATGAGTCCCACCTGGCAGTATTGATGGTAACTTCAAGCCGTGCTGTTGTCTGAATGGTGACCGCCTGTTCCGCAGACAGCACAGTTCAAGGTCCGGAGGACCAACTGATACCCAGAGTCAACCTGGGACAGAGATTGCTCCTGTTGTCCCTCTGGGCAAGGATGCAGTGTTTTCCTTTCTGTCCTTTGACCTTTGAGGGCCGGGCACTTTCTCTCTACCTGGTTTCTGGGTCACTGTTCACAAGTTCTTTGAGGAGGAAGAGTCTGGCCAGAGGCAGTGTGTCCCATGCAGATGCTCGTAGCCATTGATGGTCAGCTTGTGAAGAGCAAGTCTTGGATGTGCACTAGACAGATGGGTGGGTGGACATGCGACGACGTGTTCTCTAGTCTCCCTCACTGGGTTCCTCTATCACCCGTCCTGTACCACAGGGCAGTGTTTCTGAACAATACTGAAAGGCACTTGCTCGGACTTTTTTTGTAGATGGCGGTTGAGTTTCTGCATGAACTGAATGTCCCATTTTTCAAAGTTGGATCTGGTGACACTAACAATTTTCCTTATCTGGAGAAGACAGCCAAGAAAGGTAAGTGTGGGTTTTTTTCCCTCAAAACCAGTCCAAGCTTTGTGTTTCTGCCCCCTAGTGGCTGCTCACTGTGATAGCATTCATGGAGACTCATCTAGTTTTAGTTTTTATTTTGGTTTGGTTTTTAGACAGTCTCCCTGTGTATCCTGGCTGGCATGGAATTCGCTCTGTAGCCAAGGCTACAGATCCTCCTACAGATCTAGCTCAAACTCCTAGAGATCCTCCTGCCTCTGCCTCCCAGGTGCTGGGGTTAAAGGTGTGCACCACTACACCCAGCTTAGGAGACACGTTCTAGAAATCTCCTACCTGTTTGTTCTGGGGCAGTACTAGGGACCATGCACCTGCTGTGAGTATCCTACCACTAAGCCACATCCCCAGGCCCTGTAGGAATCTCCACATAATACTTGGTAAATTGATTTCCCAGCGTGAAATGATCTCAGTTGACCCACCTTACAGACCTGGGATGGAAGCAGGTCATGCTCCCGGGATAGTCTGACTTGTTTCCTAGGCAAGGTATCAGAAGCCCTAAGGACAGGGCTCTGTGCAGGCCAGCACCCAAATCGGCAGCTCGCAGCCCCTCGGCTGTGCTCATGCACTGGGGAATCTTCCACAGTGTGGGCTGCGTATCCCTTATCCAAATGCCTGTGAGCAGGCGTGTTCCTGAATTTGGAGTCTTTTGGGTTTGGGGATTTTAGACTAAGATTGTTGACTGAGGTTCCTGTCCTACCCAGTCCCACAGTCGTTGAGTCCTAAATAAACACACAGAGGTCTACATTAATTATAAACGGATTGGCCTATTAGCTCAGGCTTCTTATTAACTCTTATAGCTTACATTACATAATTCTTGTCTTTGGTAGCCACGTGGCTTGGTACCTTTATTGGTGAGGCAGTCACGTCTGGGTGATGACTGCAGACTGACTCTTTCCTCTTCCCAGCATTCTCTTGTTCTCATTGCCCCGCCTCTACTTCCTGCCTGGCTACTGGCCAGTCAGCATTTTATTAAACAAGTACAAGAAACAAATCTTTACAGGGTAAATAAAACCATTGTCCCACAGCGTAAGATGAAGCCTGTTCAGTACTGTACAGCCTCTTGATCTGTAGAGAGGCCTCTCTTCCCCTCAAGATCCTGAGATCCCTCGGCGTGCTTCCCTTTGCTGGAGCATGATCCTGAGGAAGTGTGCTTCCCCATTGGTTGCTGTGCGGTGTCTTAGGAGATGGGGCGGGGGAGGGGAGATTCTGAGCCCTGTGAAGAAGGTGCCGGTTCTTCAGGTCGCCCTATGGTGATCTCCAGTGGGATGCAGTCGATGGACACCATGAAGCAAGTCTACCAGATCGTGAAGCCCCTCAACCCCAACTTCTGCTTCCTCCAGTGCACCAGCGCGTACCCACTGCAGCCAGAGGATGCCAACCTACGCGTCATCTCGGTGAGCAGGACATTCATTCATTTGCGATGCTGGAGACTGATCTAGGGCCGTGGGCATGCCAACCAAGTGTTCTTCCACTGAGCTATAGATAGCCCTAGCCCTGTTGTTATAACCAACCATGGCACACTTTGTAGATGTACAGATCCTATCTTCGTGTGACAGAATCAGATTAGACCTAGGCAGCCAAGGAAGTATGGCATTCCAAAGAGGAGAACTGTAAATTAAAGCATATAACACCAATCTTAGTTTCTTCCCTGTGTGTATGTGTGAGTGTGTGCGTGTGTGCGTGCGTGTGTATGTATTTATGCCTCATACATCATGATTTGTCTTCATGTACTTTTTAGTCTTTTTTTTTTTTTTTGGTAAGGTCTCACTGTGTAGAATTGTCAGGCCTATAACTCACTCTGTTGACCATGCTGGCCTCAAACTCAAAGAGATCTGCCTGCTTCTGCCTCCCAAGTGCTGGGATTAAAGGCCTCCATAGATGAATATAGTTAACAACTTAGCGTCTTTGACTCCAGGTACTCTCCCTGATTTTCCCCTCACTGGAAGTCCTATCACATCCTCTCTCTGGACATGGCTACGCAGCGAGAGTGGCTTTGCCAGCCCACCCAGTCACAGTAGAATTCCCTGGCCTAGAAGCCTACACTCTCTCTCTCTTTCTCTCTTTGGGGGAGGGTTTTTTTTTTTTTTTGAGACAGGGTTTCTCTGTGCATCCCTGGTTGTCCTAGAACTCACTCTGTAGATCAGGCTGGTCTTGAACTCTTGAACTCATTGATGCCCACCTCTGCCTCCAGAGTGCTGGGACTAAAGGCGTGTGCCGCCGCCACCCGGCTGCAGTGTATAGACTGTATATCACACAGCTGTGGGCTGATCTCAAGGCTTTAGCCATCCAGCATTCCTTATCTGCTACTGCTCCCCACCTGCATCTCCCTGCTGGGCTTCAGCCTTCTGGCCACCATCACTGACAGCACTCACTCATCTGAGAAGGGCTTTGGTGCATTAGGTGGATTAGAGATTCCATTAATTATTCAGAGTTCCCATCAACGAAATGTTTTGGGCCTGGGCTGTGTGTATAATTTATATATATATATATATATATATATATATATATATATATATATATTTTTTTTTATTATTTATTAGTATACAGTGTTCTGCCTGCATGTATGTCTGCACACCAGAAGAAGGCACAAGATCTCATTATAGATGTTTGTGAGCCACCATGCAGGTGCTGGGAATTGAACTCAGGACCTCTGGAAGAATAGCCAGTGCTCTTAACCTCTGACCCATCTCTCCAGCCCTAATTGATATGTTTGTGTGTAACACACTTGATTTCATACTTGTGACAAGAGCTTTTGGAGGTGAGCTCAGGCATTCCATTTCAGTTATGTTGTTATTCTTGGTCTGCACAGGTTTTAACAGTCATACAAGGTGTTGGTTGATTAGAATGTTTTGAATTCACGTATGTGTATGAGTATGCATGTGTGTGTGCACGCCATGGTAAGTGTATAGCACTCAGAAGACAGCCTGCGGGGGCTGGTACTCTCCTTTCATTGGATGGTTTCCAGGGATCAAACTCATGTCGTCAGGCCCGATGGCAGGCGCTTGCCCTCACCCTCTGAGCCATCTTGATGGCCCGCAGAAGGCATTCTCAATGGCAGCAGTAACTTTTACAGTATGGCGGGTGTCTTAGTTAGGGTTTCTCTTGCTGTAAGTAACTCGGGGAGGAAGGGTTTTTTTTTTTCCTCTCACAGCTCCTTATTACAGTTCATCATCAAGAGCAGGGCAGGAATCTGGAGGCTGGAGCTGATGCAGAGGCCACGAGGGGTGCTGCTTATAGGCTTGCTCCACGTGGCTTACTCAGCCTGCGTTCTTACAGAACCTAGGACCACCAGCCCATAGTTGGTGTCACCCACAGTGGGTTGGGCCTGTCCCCATTGAACACTAAGTAAGAACGTGCCTTACAGCCCGCTCTTAGGGAGACATTTCGTCCCTCCTCTCTGATGACCCTAGCCTGTGTCAGTTGACATAAAACCAGTCAGTACAGCGGGTGCCCTCCCTGTTCCCAGCAACCCTCAGTGGGCACTTTTATCTTTGTAAGGGGGAGGCTCAGAGTGCCTTCCTTACTGTCTCACCCCTGGCTGCTCTGCTCAGGGGCGGCTGAAGTGGGGTGCCCTTCTGATCTCCCTAACGAGAAGTCCCAGAAGGGTAAGCACTCCCCTCTTCTATTTTACAGGAGTACCAGAAGCTCTTTCCCGACATTCCCATAGGGTATTCCGGGCATGAGACAGGCATCGCCATATCCGTGGCGGCAGTGGCCCTGGGGGCCAAGGTGTTGGAACGCCACATAACTTTGGACAAAACTTGGAAGGGGAGCGACCACTCAGCCTCGCTGGAGCCTGGAGAACTGGCAGAGCTGGTGCGGTCCGTGCGCCTGGTGGAGCGGGCACTGGGCTCTCCAGTCAAGCAGCTGCTGCCCTGTGAGGTGGCCTGCAATGAGAAGGTGGGTACTGCCTGACCCTGCCTCGCCTGCTGTCCTGGGGCAGGTGTGGCACACGTGACCAGGAGCTGGGCTTCTGACTTGTCTGAGCCTGACAGATGAGCAGGTTAAGGAATGTCACACCCACCCTTCTGGGCACCATTAGGCTATGGGAGCAGCGGGGTGATGCATCACATGGGAGCAGGTCAGGGTTTTTAGCTACCCTGGCTCACATTAGTCTTTCTACAAAGCCTCTGGAGCCTGTGGCCTCAGGGCTCTGAACCCTACGAGATAGAGAGTGAAGTCCTACGATGGCCAAGCCTGGTCACTTGGAGTAGACATACCGAGGCACTGGGAAGAGAGCCAGGGCAGTCCTGAGTACAAAGGGGCACTGGGTGGGTAGGGCTGGTGGTCACTGACGGTGAGGCCTGGGCGAGCTCCCCCCTTCCCTGCCAGCTTCTTAGAAGCCATGACTTGGCCCTTTCTGCTCTTGTGAGTTTAGAGGCAGGAGTCCCAGGAGTTCTGGGTGCAAGACTCCTTACCTGCAGTTGTGTGGGTCAGGGCAGACCCAGGGCATTGAACCCTTTTATTCTGCCGGAGATTACCTGCTGACCCGACCCCCACAATTCCAGGTGCACGTGGACTGGGGAGTTAGCAGTTAAAGACTATACTTGCCCCGCAGATGAATTGGAGAGAGTCATTCAGGAACTTAGAGTGACAGTTACGGCGGTCGGGCATGGAGTGCTCACAGTGGAGGGTGAAAGCAGCCAGGGCCACTTTGTGACAATAAGCAGCTGACACAGCTTCTCCTGGTGCTAAGTCCAAGTTAGAACTCGGGGGCTCTTATGTAAGCTGTGGAGGACGGCAAATGCTGCTTCCGAGTATGTACAGGGAGGCGGAGTGCTGGCTGTGAACCATCCCTCGGTCTCCACATCTGCCTGTCCTGTCTGTCCCCTTTCTGGGTACCCCTTGTCATCTGAATAAGTCACCCTCATTGCTCATGGGCCCTCCATCACCCTATTTTATAGAACAAAGTGGCAAACAGGTTTGTATACACATGGGACCGGGACTCATCTTAGTTATTGGCAGCTTGACGAAGTTGCTGCCTTCTTTTGACCTCAGTTTCTATAAGATGTTGATGACACGGGGACAGAAGTAACCACGGCTATCACATGGAGGGAGCATGGGGACAGAAGTAACCGTGGCTGTCACATATAGGGAGCATGGGGACAGAAGTAACTGTGGCTGTCACATGTAGGGAGCACGGGGACAGAAGTAACCGTGGCTG